TATTTTTTATCATTATTTTAATTTTTAATAACTACATGATTAGAAGAAGCATTTCACTACAGCTTTAACATAATCAGTAACACACTCCAGAGCAAGAGTACATCTCTTTCACAAGTGGCTGCAAGTTTCTAGGTTCACCGTTAAATCAATACAATTATACAATATTGAAATCAGTATAAGCCCCATAAGACATAAAATTGAATGAATTTTTAACTCTCAAAAAAGATCTCCATTTCATTCTAAAACATACTGTTTCTTACAGAAAGACTCATTGTTTTTGCTACTAACACTGAGATGTTGGCGCATGCATCTCTAATCTGTATGTATCAAATTATTACTAGTCATAATCATTTGCATTTGGATCTTTGGTGCCTGTGTATGTCTATAAAATCATTGGGTAGATTTCAATGGTAATGTTCATCACCTCTACTAATTAACATGATGTAAACTTTTATGCTTCCTCCTCAAATATAATACATTTTTTAATTCGTTGATTTTTTTTTCTGTGTGTGTATATCACACAGAACATCCCAAACCATCTTATTCAATTATACACCCACTACCCAGGTGGCACCCTCCCATAACGTCCCTCCCCCAACTAGAGCCCTTATACTCTGTTATCCCTGCTACTGTCCACTGTGTTGTCGGCATCCCAGCCGTTCCCTACTGCTTGTCCATCTGGTGAATCTAGTCAGCCTATCTAGAGGTCTTTGTTTTAGGAAGGTCAGCTGTTCCTCATCTAGCAGCAATCAGTTGTCAATTCTCCTTTGGATAAGATTGGGGTCTGCTGTTCATTTTCCCAGTTCTATGCTGGGTTACTATCTGGGAGTCCCTTGGGCCACTGAGGCCAAAAACTCAAAAGAAGGTATCTCCTGTCTGGCATTATTGCTTGTTATGTAGCCTTTAGCTATACATATGGACTCTTAAAAAATTATATTGGCCCCTTTAATCTTTGGTTATACTTTCCTTTGGGTGTTTAAGGACATACAGTTGTCCCAGATAAACCAATTTATTTTTACTCTTAAGGTCGTTTGAGGATCTGTTCCTCAGGGGTCACATGGGCTTGGGAGGAGCCTCTGGCTCCTTTCTTTTACCAGTTCCACCTATGTGAAGGTAAGTCAAAGGTCCTCAGTGTTGACCCTCTTCTTTGTAGACTGGACACTGGTTCATGTCCATCTAATGGGATCTCCTTGGCCTCCTTGATCAAGAGGACAGGTGATCCACCACAATTACAGGACATTTTGGGAGATGCTCATAGTCCCCTGGAACTAGTCGACCTAGGAGGGCAAGGAGCAAAAACTGTCCTTTGTGTCCCTCTGACCAAATTATTATAGGCCCAAAGTATGTCTGTTAAACATCCAAGAAGGTTAGTTCCACCAGTTTGGTACTTTTAATTACTGTGTGCCATGTAGATAAATCTTGGGCAAAGACCAATTGTTCTCAGATAAACCTTACCTAGACATATATTTCTTGATCTG